GTACTTTATAAATACGAACAGATAAGTAATCTGTGTTGTGAATGAGATAAATGCAGACAATTCATTTCTGAATTATCAGGCAGACAAAAAAGTCGCGGTCACGAACCTCCAAATCATGTTCGCAAACAAGCACTAAGATTTGGTATACCTGAGTAACGGTACTGAAGCTTGGATTCTAATCAATCACAACATTCACAAGTCAACGAAGCATAGAGAAGACCGAGACCCAGTTACAACATAAAATTAGATTTATTATTCATTTTATATAACAACTACGAATCTTTACGTCATTTAACCGCAACAACACAGTATTTTAAAAGTACGTGACGTAAGAAACTAATTTTGCCGCAAACTCGCCAACAATTTGCATAATGCAGGTGGACTGCGTTTTATAGCTCCCATTTCATGTTTTATTTAGAGGATAAAATGCATGGACAATCTAATTCATGAGGTAAAGTGTATGAGGAGAAGTTTCTTAAGTAATCTTAAGTAGCACCTGTTCATCCAGCGCGGTTGCTCATGCAGCGCAAACTTTAGACTATAACTTAAAGGCATTATTGGATGCTCTTCAAAACCACAGGAAAAGTGTTAAATTATATTAAATTAAAGTTATTTATAGTATAAGAGCCGTAGGCTTAGATTTTACTTCGTAATATTTATGTTGATACAAGAAATCAAATATACCTACAACTGACAAAAGCATAACCTAGTAGATGCCTGTAAAAACTAAGATTATGTTGAGTAAAACATACCCATTTACATCGTAGGTAATAAGAAACGTGGAACGTGTATATGAAAACAAATATAATTTAAATTCAAATGTCATGTAAAACAGATCTCGCAGCGAATATGGAATGAAATTGAAAGCGCGGAGGCCAAAAATAGTCGTGCAAAATACGAGGGAGAAGAAAACGACTTGGAAAAGAATTGAGCACAAAACTACATAGCACAGACTTTGCGGAGTTCCAAATGGGGCACGCTGTATTGTGGGAACTCACAAGGGATCTCCGTTTTCCGGACTAACGCCAAACTATTATGGCAACGAGCACCATCTGGGGAATGGGAGGCACTCGTCACACGGACATTGCTTCTGAAAATTTTAGCTGCAGTGTAGCTCAAATATGAGATAGCATGGCATCAATTTTATGCTTTAAAACGAGCTAAACACTTTTATGATCTCACTTGAGACTTTCCCACGTCTGTCGATCAACTATTGTGCTACTGTTATATATGAAAATAAAAGGTTAAATGCAATTTTAAATGAGACTTTACTTTGAGTACAACTTTGAAATACAGGTACTTTTTATCCTGCATTTTAAAACTTAACAGTTTGTGGAACTTATATGACCGTAGAATATTTAATTTATTTTTTCGTAGTGGTCCTTTGCAGTTCTTTCATTTGGTTTAATAGTAGAATAGCTCACTTTATATTTTCAAACGCAAAAGATTTTAAAGCAACAAACGTTTGAAATGAAATGCAAATCTGACCTTTCGGGCACCGCACCGTTCCCGAGCAACCGTAGGCGAATTTAAAACATGGCGTTAGTGAAAATTTAAATTTCAAAAACCTACATTGATTTATGTGTAACCGGGCATTTTTCTAAAGCATTAAAAGTTTTGGTTAGATATTTTATTCTAAACGAAAAATGTTTGAAATGTTAAAACGAAATTATATTTTATTCTGTGTCCATTAAGTTTCATATGAAACGTATGATTGTGAATGCAATATTTACTTATGTTCGGGAAACAATATTTTTATTCGCCAGCTTTTGGAACTCAATTTCAATGATTTTACAGATGCCAGTTATTTATTCATAAACAATTAAAATTCATGAATCATACATTGCTTTTTTAAAAACAATGCTAATTTCCGTTTTCCGGATGTGAGTAATCTGATATGCTTATTGTATTGTTATTGAACATCGACGCCTTGAATCATTAATTAATTATTATAATTAGATTACTCAATTTCCTTCGCCCGACATCGGGTTAGATAAAATCTTTACACTACTTTTTTTCTTTTTGTAGTTATGTAACTATTTCACAATAGATGTCACTAACGCAACAGGGTCGTACTTAGAACTTACCGGGAGTTGTTTTAAAAAGTTTTTTGTAAATACATTTGCGAATCATCTTGATACGCATTTTTCTATCGAAATAGTAATAAATATCTAAAATATCTATTATTGGTGAATGAGAATCATTATACATTTATCAAAACCATCTTTTTCATTTAAAAGGGGTTATTTCGTTACGGGCCTAGCCTGAAGCAGAAACTCATATACCTACAATGCTACCAAGAGGCTGATGCCCTGCTGATAGCTGGTTCTTTGTGATAACGAGTGTTATTATTAGATATGCCATTACTTTACTAATGTGTAACTTGGAACGGCATATGCGTTTAGACTGGTGCCATCTTCAAACATACGATTCAGGGATGCGTCGACGAAATAAAAGACTCCAGGTGTATCTTCATAGGTCTTGAAGGGACAAGGCCTCTATCTACGATAAAACTACTAGCGGCCCGGTACGTGCCACTACGTTCAAGTATATCATAAAATATAATCAAAAATATATTATTATGTTCATTTAACAAAAAAAAAATGTTATCGTTTGCTATGTAAAACTCTAAACGAGTCAAAAAGATATATTATTGAAAATTAATGGCATTTTACCTCAACAATATTTTGGATCATAAAAACACAAAACAATAACTCAACAATATTTTGGAACAATAACGAACATTACATCTAATTAACTAGTGGTATGTTAAATGCTATTCCAAAGTTAATAATACCGCCAGATTCTTCATATATAACACATCCTAATTATCTTCACGACTGTCATAGGTACTATTTACCATGAAAAACGAACAAAACCTGCCCTAATGTGACGACATATTTCGAAATAAACGAACAATGGAACAAAAAGATATGTACGAAGGACAGAGTATGTTGTGGGCATTTCATAGGCTTACCGGCGATACATATCTGACTTGTATGATCCAAGTCCTGATGCCTTTAATTTGGGGTTGAAATAAAAACCGAAGAGGAACTTTATAGGTATAATAAAAAAATAAATAAGGTCGTTCAGTTTAAAACGCTCAGGCACTAAGATTTAGCACTCACAGCGTGCGGTGAGGTGCGCTAAATTTGAGTGATTCCATTCGCGACTTAAATAAATCAACGATCCCTATAAACCTTAAAAAGTAATTGACTCCTAATTACTGCCCTGTCTTTATTTATGTTTTACTACTTGACAATAGATGGCAGTCTGTTTATAAAAGGATATAAAAGTTACATAAATAATATTTTGGCGATTGAAGGATCTTTAGGAATGCATGTCGATCAAATTACTATACAAACGATCATTAAAATATACTAATACTGAACTATGCGTACCTATAAATATTTTGTTTCTATGATACAAAGTGTCGACATCTAGTGTCGCGTAGATTGATAATTGGAAACGCTGACAATAAGAGACTTTGCTAGAACTATTTTAATAAATGACGAATAAAATAACTTATACATGAAAAGTGATGCCATCCATTGCACCGTAACGTTTATCATAGTATTTTTTACAAGATAAAACACAAGACTTCATTTTGTTTTCTTCTGTCACGAGTAAAATGAATATTTTATAGGAGTTGTGCACAGGACGAACGACCACAGTTCACTGACGTAAGCCACGCCCACATTGATGACGTGAGGGCCGACTTGTGTCACAGGGCCGAGTTGTTTAGGCCGTCTCCTCTTTGTTCTTACTCCGTGGTCGTGACCAATCATCGAGGTAGTTAATGGCATTATGCAAAGAGAAAATATAAACATGAACTTAAATTACAAGTTCCGACATAATTGAAATTTATATCTAGAAAGCCCAAGGTTAGACAGGCGCTAGTAATTAACAGTGAGGCAACAAAACCACGATAAGCTTCAGGAGCAACCGCTTTTGTTTACTTCAAATTTTATTTTCGCCTCAAACATTTTTCGTAATTAATTATACTGCTAAACTGGACAACCCTAAGGCCGTTTCAGTGAATAAATTTATTTTTGCTGTACATTAATTTCATTGTCTATTTTTAAAATGTCGCACGACGCCTTTACAATTAGATTTTGTTACTGTTGGAAAAGTAATTAAGAGCCCAAAAACCATTCTTTCTTTAATTTTTATCTTACATGTCTAACTCGTTGACATTACCTCCTGCAGTTTTAGAACAGATCAAACCTAAAGGCCGTTCTCAACAATATTCACATTTTTGTTAATGCGCAAGCGCCACTTGCGTAACGCAACCTGCGGTAGTAACGCGCCAATCAGAGCATCTCCGACGTCAGGTATGTGCCTACTTCGCTACCACGAATTTGGCAATATAATTCTGTACGATTACATTTTTAAGCAAATACCATACTAATGGCAATTTCTTACTAAACTTAATAAGACGCATTGCTTAAAAAACGTCGGTGTGTTATAAAAAGATTAAAATAAAAAAGATATGACATTGATAACAAAAACAATTTGTTGCACAAACTTGATTGAAGAGCATTCGACCTTATTTCAGTCTTCCTATCCGCTAAGATACTGTTCGCCTTCCATGTAGGGCAAGGATGATTTGTAAGGTCGATACGGAAATATATTTTCCAACATAACAAAGCTAGTAACTATGTTGTTATTAAGTCAATGTAATAATATTATAGTTTTAACTAAGACTAACAAAGAAATTTAATCTAGACCTACTTATCGCTCGTTAGATTGGAGATCAAGGGCGTTGGCATCAGCCAATTTACCTTCCGATATGTTTAAGTACTTAGCACCCTTCCAAGGTTAAGGAACAATAACTATTACCACAAACTTACCATTATTCTAAGGGCGAATTTAAGCTACAATAATGAAACTACCTTGTTACAATGAAAAAGAATAAATCATGTTTTTCTTATGCAAATTACACCGTTTTGATAATTCTCAGAATAAAATGACATTAAATAATAATTTGCAAACCGTACCTTTCTTTTTCGTGCGCCGACTGCGGAATCTGCAGAATTGTCTGCTGATTCTCCATTTCCACCACGCATTGTGTACCCAGTTCGAGTTCTGGAAACAAAAAGTTTGGAATATTAACATCGATGGTGACAAAGATTGGTAACGGTCCAGCTATGACGTGATACGATACGACTTACACTAGTCCTGTTATAACCTTTTGACCTAACTGGCCTAGGCCTACGTAGGTAATTGATTTTTCGTGCTGAATGTTTTAAAGTTCGTGCACGCAACCCTACCAACATACATCTGTGACTCATACTCAGGTTAAAAATAAGAACCTTTTTAGTTGTAAGGAACCAAACACCGTGGTATGGTGACGCGGAACATGTGGCTTGGATTTTCCAAGGCGTCTTTTTGTATATTTCTCTAGAGAGAAACATCTAAGTAAACAAGAAATATAAACATTTAGCATTATGTATGTGGTTTTCAAAAACGAAGAACAAGTCAATAAGACAGTAACGTATATTATTCAAGTCAGGAACAGATATCGTAATTGCAATAACTACCTACTTTGGTAGAAAGAAGAATTTCTTTTATACTAGTATAAACAATAAACATGTACTAGTTATACCTAAGAAACATTAATTCTCTTCATCAGTGGTACACCTTACATACAAGTTACCAAAAAATACGGTGTGTAATAGAACCAGTGAATTTAATGCCAATACAGAATGGGAACACCTTGGCGACCAGAATTCGTAATCACCTTATTTCGAGTAAAGGTAATGGTAAATTGTGAGAGCCCAATAATAAACTGGGTTGGTAATTAGGATTCAGGTCATACGATGTTCTGCGGTCATTTGTGCATGTGTCGGATTAATGATACAGTTATTGTAAGTGCTTTAGATAAGAGTTTATTGTTCGTTCAATGTATTAGAACGCGTATTTATAAATAAAATTGTTAATATATAACAGGAAAACATGATAACATCACTGCTAGACTTGACACGTATTGTTATTTGTAAATCGCGTACGTACTTAGACCTACGTTTACGTAAAATGTATTAATAAAGTGATTATTTCTATACATAGCTTAAGTTGGGGTTTTAAATCTCTGTTGAATAATGTCTTTCACATTGACAGTATTTGTTACGTAAATATCGTCGAAATTTTTTACGTAACAAATTTACATAGGTACTTATTTTATTAAACGGTTTTATTTAGCTCACCCCGTTTATTTATTCTTGTTGCCTCTAGGAATAAGTAGATACCTACTGCACTGCACTGCACGGCTGTCTTTGAGGATAGTAAAAACAAGAAAATAACTAGTTGCCTATTAATTTATCTACATAATTTTGTCGTCTGACTTTTTTCTAAAGGAAACCGAAGTGACATTTTTTCTATTGATACTTAAGCGTCCATTCATAAAACTTGCATTTGGCTGGACAAGTAGACATAATTCACATACCCACTAAGCACTTTCTGGACTACTCGGACGAACTCGTGTTGTATGGATCCTACACAATTACCTACTTAATAATTCAGTTATTTATTCTCCTTTATCGTCAAGGTGGACCGTAGAGATACCATTGCCTTAAAAGGAATCACGACAATCCTCTTTCGGACAATATACGACCAGTTTCGAGACAAAGGTAGGGTGATGTTTCTATTAAGGTAGAGCACTTTCAGTAATTATGTTACAACTGCTACAAGCTACGTGGCGAGAAAACCTCCAATAAAAACCAACATAATTATGCATTAGTAATTTAAATAGTAAGTAGGTAGGTATGTGTGTATGTATGTACGAGTAGTGAGTCAAGCCGAGGTCGGGCCGTACGTCCGAGGCGATGCTCTTTCAAATCCGGTTTTACTAGACCATTTTATGTATGCCTAGGCTTGTGTAAAATAAACGGTATTAAACTCGCCTAGACGAGAAGACAGACAGATGTGAAGAAATAACACAATTATTACCCACCTATTTAATAATTTGAACTTGATCGCACCTTCAAAACGTATATTATAGCCTTCGGAAACCAAATAAAACGTGTAATTACTAAAACAGTCTATCACAAGATCACGCACGTGCCAATTGTATTGTCTTCATTACATTTAGTGGGTATGAATTTATTCATTTCTGTGACTCGATTAAGAGATAGGTATTTCATTGCGTGTTGTACGAAAAATGACTAAAGAACTAAAAGATACCGAATTCCTGTGTAAAAAAGAAATGATGTTCATCGAAGCGATGCGTGTCGCAACTTGGACGTGGAGTCCAGTCTAGAATCGATTTGACAAATTACGTAAAAGACGGTTCGCTGAAAGTAGAGCAGCAGCAATCACACCGAGGATTTCCACGAGTTTATTTACCATGACGAATGCAAGTGAGCGTGCATTCTTGTTCTAAAGTCATCTCGAGACTTACTCAACTATTTACTAACAAAGTCATTCAAACGTCTTTGTCAAGGTTATACGACTTAATATACAACATATTCTTTGATGATCTCAGTATTTTATTGTGGTGATAGGTTGTTAGGAATCCAGAAGGGATAAAAAAGAATCCGCGTCTTATCGAAAATATGACGTCATTCAATTTAAGCATAGGCACATAAATGAGCACTGGAATCAGAAAGTCATTGGACAAAGAAGCCCTAAAGGCAGCCGCGATAATATTCATAAACTTGTTATAATAATCCTATAACCATAAGCTGCTTTAAAATCTTCCACTTATAAAATACAAATAGGTAGTTAACATATAAGTCTAAAATGCATAATTTTCTCCGTATAGTTATTATATGGCTAGCGAGAAATAGATAGAGTATTATTAACACAATTCCACAATGGGTCTGATGAATGATAGATATTATAATATGTAGGTCAACCAGCTGTCGTTTCCAGTGTCGTTATTCTGATCCAATCCATACATTTTCATTGTAGAGCCGAAACAGGTGTACAATGTCGAATATATTTCTTTTCAGACTTACGAATGTGTTTTCCGATATCGGACTACGGCGCAAAATATATTTTGGTGGTTTTTACAACCAAAAAATGTATTAAGATAGATATTGCCAAAAGTTCGGCATGTTTCGTCATTAGTTACTCGTAGTTACCTTCTTGCATAGAATTTGAATGTCAAATGAGGATTTGTTGCAAAACATTTGTTTTTGTTATTTTTGTAGTTCTCATATAACCTTCAACACTTAATATAAAAATTAAACGCTAAATGTGTCGCTAATCGCAAATCTCGAGAACAGCTTAACCAATTTCGTTGATTCTTTTGCGTAGTTTGTTATTGTCAGGATAAGTTTCCTTTGGACGAAAAAAGAAAAAAATCAGGGGAAGTCTAGAAGCTGCAACCCTTTCAACATCAGGGTGGAGATAGTTGAACCCCTGTGTGAAAAAAGACCAACAATTAACCACTGGTATAGCAGATATTTATCAGTTGATGATAAAAACTTACTACACTGTACCTACACACATTTGTAATCAATTTATACCTATAATCCATTAATTGTATAGGAAAGATTCCAATTAGGTAAATTGACTTCTTTTTTTAAATGACAAAACAAACCTTTTCTATTAATTTTGTATAAAATAAATGTTGTAATTATTTTTAAAAGCAAAAAGGATATTTATTTCTATCAAAATTATAAAAAGAAATGACGAATATTAAGAAAACTTATTGAATTAAAGTGTGTCTATTTTTTAGTTATTTTCATGATATTATTTGTATTTTTAACGAAGAAAAAAGGCATGCAGTTGATAATTTACACCTGAGGTAATTCCCAATAAGGATAACTTTTTTGTAATCATGTATGGTTCTTTAACACATTCAGTGCCCCCGACGCGTATGTGCGTGCGAGGAAACGCACATACGCGTCGGGGGCACTGAATGTGTTAAATTCTGTATATATAAGTATCTTTATCAGACTCAATATTGAAACAGCTATACAATACATGCATGTATGTAAAAGAGGAAATTCCACATAGGTAATTACAAAAATTCTGATTTCAGGACACATATAATAAATATTCGAGTACTGCAGCAGTTACTGAAGATCAATTCAATTTTTGTTAAATGGAATAAGAGTTAAGAAGGCAACAGTTTAAACATTGCTAACTGTTATGGTCTCAAGACGACTGGCATTCTAGAAGACCATGAGCTGATAAAAAATTCAAACAAGTGAAAATGAGACCCACTCTCTTTTGCAAAGCCAGTTAATAAGCCTAAACCTGTTACAAAACATATAGAAGTATTACAAAAACTATTCTAAAAACTGCATCAAAATTAATTCAGCCAGTTACATGATAACTGCTGAAAAACATACACATATGAGTTGAACTTGAAATTCCTTTTTATGTTGTTTAAAAGCCATAAAATCTCTTCTTCATATAGCCAAAGGAACTACTTTTCTTCTGTGATTGCTAAAACACTTTTTTTATTTGCTGTACTTATTAAAAATTTTGAGATCAGACAGATTGCTCGAACAAAGAATTACTTAATTTATTAATTAACATCCTCATAGCACAATGAGGAAATGTGAGAAATGTAAGAGTGATTCATTATATTACTGGCAAGGCTATAATTATTTTGAAATATGACTAAGTTGTTGTAAATAATTCATGGAATTTAACTAGGCAATTAAGTTAAAAATAACAAGATAGTACAAATTATGTAATATTTATAAGAATAAGAATTATTTTATCTAAAGAAGGATCTAGATTAGTACCCAAATTTAGATTAGGACATTATCTATAGTACCTATTTTGTTTCTTATTCATTTAATTCTTTTAAAATAGTTTCAACAGCAATAATTTGGCAATTATTACTTACATACTCAATTAAATATTAAAAGATAAAATTATATCACTAAGAAAAGGTAATTTCTTTCCAGCCAAACAATGCGATGTGATTTTGTGAACATTTCTCTGCAAAATCTTGATTGAATTATTTTGATACATTTAATTTCAAAGGCATATTTTAATGAATATCACATTGAAATTAACAGTTTAGTTATAAAAACAATTTCTAAAATACTAAGGCTACCCACTGATCATACATGCATATAAATAATAAGGAACAAAGGTTTCTGTAATGCAAATAGTAAATAAACAATAACTAATGCTCAAAATGAGATATCTATTCTATTTGACTTGGAATCAAATCGAAAAAATATGAAAAATAAATTAATGAAGCTATTAATTGTAGTAAATAGCAATACTTATCGAATATTAAGTAAAGAATTTAGATTACAATTTCTAGTGAAGTTATCAATTATTTTAAGTCTATCTTGGAGAACATTTGTACAAATACCGCTTATTTTATCTTGTATATTTTATGCACAAAGTACACAGATAAAATGAAACAACGTAGTCACCTGAGTGATAGCGATTTCTTTATTTAATAGCAAAATGAAACCAGCTTACCTCGCCTGTTAAAAGGACGAACCCGAACGGCTACTTTAATCTTATCCGTGGCCATTTTTGACACTCAGATAACACAAATACAATTAAAACACAACACTTAGCACACAATTGTTAAGTAAATTATTGCACATATTCACCCATATTCTAAAACAACAAAATTCATTATTTCACGTTACGATCACGACGTTCCCGGATTGACACTGTCCGCCATGTTGTTTTTACAACGTTCGATAGTGCTTGACGTATGTTCATAATCAATTTAAGATGTCAAATCGTTACAAAACATTAAAGTCGATTTAAATCAGTTTTTGATATTATTATTTAAGTATTAAGTCTTATTTAATAATTATTGTTTTAGGGTCCTGCTATTATATACAGCTATATTTCATTGAAAATTGTAATATTACTTTGACTTTCAATTGAGGACAATACCGTAACCTTATGATGGAATTTGTCCATGTACAGCTTTCATAGCTAAAATTACTTTCAAAATAATGAAGCCTATTATGGATCTTCAAAGAAGACTTGAGGAAGAGGAAGTTTTTGAACATGAGCCTATATTACAGTATTTATTGCTATTCATTAAAATCGATTCAAAATATTCATTTACTTAAATCGATTGTTCATAACATAGACCCATCACTACTGAGTAATGTTACAAGAAAAAATATTTAGATGAGATTTTTGTGGTTTCCTTGAACATTTCTCAAACGTTCTATATTAGTTTTTCTCTTCTACTATATAAAATCTCAAATCATTTCCCTTTGATAGAATTTAGTTCCCAACTAAAACATCAGCAGTGTAATGAAATGCAATGTGTTATGACAAAACAACCGGCTCAATCGAAATGTCAAATTGACAACCTTAGCAAAACATGACCAGTCAGTTTCAATTTCTTAGGAGTAAAAAATAAGTCTCACATACAAGACCCTGTAATTAATTTAGAGTATTTTAGAGGTACTCTAGGTTTCTTTCTTACAATATAATTCAGCAAGTTGTCACCAATGGCTGACGCATTGTTTGGTTGGGATTTAACTTTTAAAACCGTGGAGAAAGATATAAAGCGGAAATCTGATGTTATCATTGCATTTATTCATTGGAACTTATCGAAAAGAGGATTTAGGAGTATTGGAATAGGAGATGAGGTAAGATACTAACACGTTCATGGAAATAAATTTATTATAATTTGGTACAGAATGGTATTGGTATTAGACTTATGTGAATAAATTTGACATAGTTTTGTCAGATTTCAGATTTTTACAATTTACTTGATTCTATATCCATTCTTAAATTCTTGTGTTTTAGTGTTGTGAATGCCTTATATACACAACAAGTATTCTTTTATATCAATTAATATAACCCATCATAGCTTGACTGGTTTTATTAATAAGTAGATTTAATTATATATCAATGTTTTATAGTGATATATTTTATTCACAATTTTTGCATTTGATTGATGTGATTCTACGTAACAGTTGTAAAATAATTAGCTATACACCAAATAGGTTAATGTTAGCTTGCTAATATAAGACAAATAAACTGTCTGTGTCTACTATCAATTAAACCTACAAATACTATCAATTAAAATCTGTATTTATAAATATTCTATGTTTCTTTCAGAGAACATTATCTGGAGATGAAGATAAAAGTGAGCTATTACCAACTGGCTGGAATGATAAAGAAAACTATGCTCTGAGATATGTTCTAAATAACAAACTATTTATTCTGCATGGATTGAGTACTGATGGAAATCTTATCATTAATCTCATGGTAATTATAAGAAGTTTTATTTTTTTGTTGATTTAACTTGTGTTAGACATCGCTTGTGTTGTTGTAGGCATTTTATTATTTAATTAGTTATTCAACCTTATTGTTTACATTATAAATTATCTGTGAACTCATAAATGTCTGCTGTTTTGACTTAACATAATAAATGTTTTAATATAAATATTTACAAATATGAAAGCTTTATATCACAAAAAAAATCTAATATATATTTTATAGAATGGTGTTTTGTCTTGTTCTAATATTACCATGAATTGCTTTACAGAGATCGGAAGATTTGGCAGTGTCCAATATAGCTATAAAGATAGAAGAAACTGTGAAGGATTTATGTGGTCCTATTGATAAGATTATGCCAAATCATAAAGAGTTAATATACAATGTAAAGCGGGATTTAATTGATGTAGTCACAGAAAGACCTACTTCTAGTACTGAAACTCAAACTGTAAGAAGTAAGTAGAACACCAAATTAAATATTAATCACTATGAAAGAATTCCTTAAAAGTTACAAGCTATAATGAACTGATGACTTACATAGGATGCTGATTAAAACCTCAAGAAGCCAACAAATTGGAAAACTCCATATTGTAAAGACTTTATTTTTAATGTTAGGAACAACTTTGTTGTGCTACAAACAACATCTAATTTTGCTTCTCTGGGATTTACCCTTTTTGTGGACTTATGACAAAAATAATACCTGTAAATGTGATACATTATGTTCAGGTGTTAATATTACTAGGTACTACTATTGATAGCAACTTAGATGCATTATTAACAATAATAATCGATTATTTAATGACATCACACCATAGCTAAAAAATAACATGCTTTCTACTTATATATCATTAAAAAACTTTGTTCTGCTGAAACTTATGTAAATAACACAAAATCAAACAAAAAAAAAATTAGATTGTCTATGTTCTTCTAGCATACTATTTTGCGCAATATTCTATAGATATTTTATACACACATGTAGATACATAGTCACATGTACATAGTATACAATGTTTTGATAACTTTCACCTTTCTTAATTAATTACATCTGGAGGTCAGTCTCTTGATGGAAAATAACAGAATGATATTATTATATCTATCATTCAAACACACAACGGTATCAGGTTCTCATTTGTTATTCAAGTTTAATGAGTCAACTGAGGAAAACAGGTTATTGGATTGGATCGTAAATAATATGGCATTGCAGTTTGTTAAGATTCTTGATAAATAGTGTTTTTAAATTCAATATGATCTTGTCTCTAAGTGATGTGTTAGTTTTAGTTACACTTGGGGTGTTATTTACCCTAAGTGTTAAAGGAGGTAAGATTATAAGTATCTTATATGTTGTAGTAAATTACTGTTTACTGATTTCGCTAAAACTCGGGAACGGCTGGTCCGTTGTCGATAACTTGGTCTTAAAATATTAATTGAAGTCCAGAAAGATTTCGCCGTATGCCGTAAAAGGGGTACGCAATTCGCCGGGTCAGCTAGTTAGTAATAAAGAAATTATTTGCAGTGCTTGATTTTGAATACTATTACTACTACTTTGAAGTACATTCATTTACATTTCAGTTTCAAGATACAACATAATCTGTTTTCCTAAATTGTCTTAAATCCAAAATAATTTCAACACCAAATATAATAGTGGCCTAGTTCTAATAGACTCTTGATTTTTTCAGGTGAATCAACTACAAGGAGGCCTCCAGAAGATCCACTGAGGGTTCCACCCCGGCCTATGCCTGGGGTGAACCCCGACACTCCAGACCTATGGTATCTTTAAGTAAAGCCCATTAACTTTGGCCAATTACTTTTATATATAATATTAATACTGTCTGTTTGAATAGTGACCTCAAATCTAAAAAAAACCAAGAGCCATCATCTGTAATAAAGAACAGTGAAATAACATTGACCTTTTGTGTGTTTTCTAGGGGAATGCCACCACCTCGCCTGCCAAACATCGGCAGTTCTGACTTGGATCCATTTGCACCTGGCGGCGGCGGCATGCTATTCAACCCGTTTGAACCTCGCAGAGACCTTGAGAATCCTGGATTGGGTATACCTGGCGGGTTACCGAGGTTAGGATTATCTTTTTAGTAGTTTTATTCCACTATTCTGCCTTGCTCATATAGGCTGAACTATACACACCTACTTGGTGGTAGGTTGTAAAAAGGTTTTATTTCTAATAATAAAGTAGGTATTTAAATTTGGTATACCGGCAACCCTGTCTGGAATGGCAGACTCTCTAATGTAGTTCTGATAAAAAATTATGTTACTAAAGATTTATCGTCTTTATTCACGAATCTTGGTTTTTCAGAGGGGCTGTGCCACCAGGAGCTCGTTTTGATCCCTTCGGTCCACCTGGCGGTCCCATGCCAGGCCGCCGACCAGCACCACCGGATGCAGATCACCTACCGCCTCCCGGCTTCAATGACAACATGTTCATGTAGTTCATTTTATAACTATTATTGTATCTAACGATTGTCCACATCATAACTATGAATAAAGTTACTTTAAAAATATTGTAGAGTTTCTTTAATACTGCATGTAGCATAATTTGTGGTCGGCAAACGGCTAGTCGTAGGTTGTCAATCGCTTATTTAAAAATTTAAAAACCACACGTGATATACCTACTCGTGAATACCTACTAACTTATCGACATACTTGCAACTCCAGTTTGTTTTTCAAAGTTCCGTAGTATCCATCTGAAACTCATAAAAATGAAGGTTCATTTTAAGAAACTTAATTTTTACATAGAATTATTCTGTTCTACACAAAGGTACCTGCAAAGAGAGCAAAGCCATATCTGAAGAAATAAAAGTCAATGTTTTATTAAAGCTTGGAATAACATAAACGAAAACTTATTAAAACTACAGTTTTGAATGTTCCCGCCAGGCCAGGAGTCATTACAATAAAGTTAACCTGCTTGCAATTTAATGATAAAATCTACCAAAAAATTTGCAAAAAGATAATTTTTAACTTCATAATTTTTATTAATTAACTAGAGAAGAACTGAACTACTAAAAGTTTAAGGAACGTTAAGAGTTCATTACAAGCAGCCATAATTAATAAATTTAAATTACCTTAAATAAATTACTTTAATTGTGATAGGAAAATATACTATCTAATCAATTAAAATGTGAAATAATTATTTTCCATCAATTCTTACTAATTTGGTACCTTTTATTTAAAAGTAAGTGCGAGTGCGATATGGCAAGCCTATGTGCCACTGGCAACACTACGATTCAGTTTAGCAAGTTAATTGTGCTGTGCACACGTTTCCCGCGTGTGTAGTGAATTTCCTTGGCTGCTCACGGCTGCAACCGTTCAATTTCTATTCAATGTGTATGGCTGTGAAGGTAAGTTACGTTTTTATCATGTCAAGTACGTTTATAGTCATCATGTTCTGATAAAATTACTTTAAAGGTCGTGCCCTCGATGAGCGACAAACGTCAGCAGGCGTCACGAAACTATTTAAAATTATAATACAATTTGTATTATCCTGTTGTTTCTAGTTTCTGTAGTATTAAACAATTAATTCGCTTTCATTATAAGTTGAAACACGGCCATTATAAGTTACAAGGTCCCCACCCTGCAATGGTATTTCAATTTAGTACATACCCACCTTGGTCGTCTTACGCGTGCTCTTTTTCATTGTTCGAATCCTAATTCAGCCTACCAAATCGCCGGTCGATATACTGATGTCGTATTGTCGAGTGAGTCACGCAATTTTGTAGATATAAAAAGTTATGATGTTGCTGTACAGAACATTTGCAACCTAATCATCTAGGTTGGTACTTGTTGGAGGTACGTAGGTACCTACTTAGGAGTTCAGCTATGTTTGATAGGGAAGTGAAGTTGTTGCAATGTTGTGAAACTTGTAAGTCACAACAATTCTAGTGTAGTGCACAATAAAATTATTCGTTTGCAAGTTTCTGCAGTTTTATATTTAGCTGTAAAATTAGGTCACACTGGTGGAATTTTCGTTAACAAACAAATGTTTGGCTCCAGTAATAATCAACATATTATTGCATCAATCCCAAACATCATTTCAGTAAAAGAAATGATTGTGAAATCATTTGCAACTTAAAATACATTAATTATAAATAATAAAGAAAATTTAATTCAGTTCTTATTTAAATGCATCTCAAACTGAAACAGATTTTTTCATGTTTTTAAACAATAATACAATAAAGCATTGATTCATTTCCTTGTACAATATACATTTACTTAAAATAATTAATATATAACTGACACTTTTAATGTTTATACAGAATTTTATTGTCACTCGCTAATTTATAAACTAAGCTGAGACCGTTGTATTGTTTCCATTAATAATGCCCATTGTCTTTTGATTCACTTTGTTCATAGTAAGCTGCCAGTATTTTATGCTCCCATAAATTATTTGTGATCTGAATGTCTGCTTGAATGCAAAGGAAATAATGCCATTATTATGGCCAAGTATCTTTGTTTATTTTCTTGCTTTGAAGGTCATAAGAAACAATTGCTTCTGTCCTCTACTAGAGTAAATAAACTAAACTTCTGTCCTGTGAGAAGTTCTGCAGTTATTTTGTATTTGAATTTATACTATACATTAAGTACCCTCTTGTTATAAATGAAACAAAATTAAATGTAAAATTGTGGCAATTTCCTAACTTAATGGAGAATTGATTCTCCACATTTTCAATCAAAATGGTTGCTAAACATGTTTACAAATATAAAGTCTCTTCCCTGGAATAAAAGGCATGCTACCTGACTTCCATTGGAATGTTTTTCTATCATTTTTTTTTGTTGTCTGTTCACAAATCTTACCTGAACTTTTGTGTTTGTGATTCATATTTTTTTTCCATTTTCTAGTTCAATTGTCTGTTATTGTGGATTTGAAACTGTCAATTTTGTTAAGTTTTCGCACCATTATTCTGGCGAGACCTTTTATTTACTGCTACATAAAGGATAGTACATTATTGACGATCTTTCTAGAAACCTGGAAAAAAAAAGTAGCGTGGGTGTACTTTTTCCGAATAATAAGCAGTATTGACGTCACTACTACTAGCCTACGTAAACAAAAATTGCTTGTCCATTATATTTCCTACATTGGGAAACAAACTGCAACGCTAGGTAGGTAATTACGTCAGAATTGCATAATGCGGTTTATCGATAAATTGTGAAACGTGAACTAAAATACGCTCATTGTTTTAACACAGTATTTTATGCACGTGTAAAGTCTTCAAAGTAAAAAATCTAATCGCGACGTAATACAAATCCGCTTAGATCTCAGTTTTGCTTCGGTGTTAAGTACTCATGTTTGTGCACAGCTGCCTTTTACGTATGGCGAGATAAACGTCGACATGTGTCCTTATGCGGTTTAAGACCTTGATGAAATATGATCCCTTTGAAGACCACACGACCGTCATGACGCAGAATCTAAGAACCTTTGATTTAAAATTTATATTTATGCTAAGCAAGGTACAGAAGCATCCACATAGCTTTTTATTCTTTAAAGAAATTGTAGCACTGTACTAGTATTTTCGGGTATGTTTTCAAATATACAAAACATTTACAAACCATCCAGATCCGTAACAACAATTTGTAGATCACAAAAAGTTTTCGTCCGGGGAACCAACCCGCGACACGTTGGATGACGGCTGGTTGCACGCCACCCAACTGTGCAGTTATCCGTTTTGATTGGAAAGTTTTTAAATGTTATAGCCCCTTTACATACTTATATCACATTTAAAACTAAGTCTGAGTTTTTTTATTAGTTTCTATCGTAAGTGTGGGAGAGCCATGCTTCGGCATGAATGAGTCGGCTCGACCGGAGTGATACCACGGCCTCACAGAAGACCGGCGTGAAACAACCACAGCGTTTTGTTTCGCTGTGTGAGTGAGGTTGCCGGAGGCCCAATCCTTCCCCGCCCCCAATCCCTCCTCAATCCCTAAATCTCCAAATCCCTAATCCCTAAAAGGTCGGCAACGCACTCGTAAATCCTCCGTTGCGGGTGTCAATGGGCGGCGCTGATTGCTTACCATCAGGTAACCCGTCTGCTCGTTTGCCGACCAATTACATAAAAATAAAAAAAAGACATGCAAAATTTATTGAAAATAATTAATTACGAAATGCTCTACTAGTTTCAAGTCACATCGGGACTCTTATTTTCAATTCATCCGCGTGAATCAAAAACAACAGATATTCGAGTTAAAACTTATGATTTACATGGATATTTCAGACGAGTTGTAATTGAAATGTTCGTGATTGAATTAAGTACAATGAAGTAAAACTCAACCAAAATAAGCATGTATCATCTTCATCTGGAAGGCTAACCTACCTTTTTAAACATTGCCATATCAAACTTCTACATTCGAATCTACTTATTTTATTGACGTAATGAACACTAGTATAAAATATCAGGATTCCCGGGATAGTACGTCGACCCGGCCTTGGCTAGCGTGTGTTGACCCTGCGCAAACGCTGGTCCGTTACCCCGACCGCGTTGGATCCCGCCTGACTACTCACAGAGTGTTAAAGAGGCCACACTTTTATACTGATTCTATCCTACATCGCCTTTGCTAGTAACCGATAGTTTTATATTTTTAACATCGCCATTTTAAATATGTTTGCCTAGCGATAAATAAAACATTATTGTCAGACTGTTTTGATTTTGTATTTAGGCAATGTTTGCTTCTTTATCTTACTAAATAATTCACTTGCTTTCTAATTCATACACATATTAGGTATAACCATAAATTAACTATGTCGATAAACAAACAGATGCCAGTTCTAGTTCTCAGAAACTGATTTTATTACTCTGTAGGTAGGTAATATGTTAATTTTCTCAGACGGAAAACATTTGCGCATATGGTGTGATTACAAAGTGACTTACAATTAAATGTATTCAAGAATGTTAATCGTTGAGTCAACAATTAACAGGCTTATGAATTGAAGATACGTCAATAAGTAATATATTGATGTCGAAGAATTTCGTACTATGTAGGCAAACTATACTAACATTAGGTTGGTACAACAATTAATTTCCGCAAAACACTTCTCAGACTCTTCTCTAAGCTGTTAAATGGCGTGGCTATTAAGCGCCACCCGTCTCGGGGGGAAGTGGGCCGCTTGACAAGCAATATCTACGTAGGTACGTACGTATAGAAAAACTCGGGCTGCTATTCAGCAAGGGCTAAGGTCGTTGCTCCGAGTTCCTTGCATAGACGGGCTTTTGAACCATAGGGCGACGCACTCAGCCTTGTCCTTTTGTCACTATCACAACACGTTAATTATTCATATGATTGATTTCGGTTCACCTGGAACCAGTTTTGATTTTATTACTTATGGATATTAAAAGATTTTTTAGGTCGTGAACTTAATTAAGTTTAGTGAAACGGCTTTAACAATACGGCAAGCATACGTTTATTTTTTTACATTTTAATTTTGTTGAAAGCACATAACGTTATAAATATTGTATTATTCAGAATCATTGATATTTATAAGTATTTCAAGGAATTAGATATTTAATATAAT